TAGGTGTGTAGTTAAGTGTGGTAGGTGTGTAGTCAAGTGTGGTAGGTGTGTAGTTTAGTGTGGTAGGTGTGTAGTTTAGTGTGGTAGGTGTGTAGTTAAGTGTGTTAGGTGTGTAGTTAAGTGTGTTAGGTGTGTAGTTAAGTGTGGTAGGTGTGTAGTTTAGTGTGGTAGGTGTGTAGTTAAGTGTGGTAGGTGTGTAGTTAAGTGTGTTAGGTGTGTAGTTAAGTGTGTTAGGTGTGTAGTTAAGTGTGGTAGGTGTGTAGTTAAGTGTGGTAGGTGTGTAGTTAAGTGTGTTAGGTGTGTAGTTAAGTGTGGTAGGTGTGTAGTTTAGTGTGGTAGGTGTGTAGTGTGCTAAGGGTGTAGTTTAGTGTGTAAGGTGTATAGTGTGTTAGGTGTGTAGTCAAGTGTGTTAGGTGTGTATTTAAGTGTGGTAGATGTGTGGTTAATTGTAGTAGATGTGCTATTATGTATGGTGAGTGTGTAGTCAAGTATGGTGAGTGTGTAGTCAAGCGTGTTTGGTGTGTAAAGTATGGTAAGAGGGCAATCGTATCTAACAGGGTAGGTATCTTGTTAAGAACTGTATGCATTGTCAAGGCTTTTAGGTGCATGGTCAAAGAGGGTATATCGGTTAGTGTGATAAGTGATTAATTAAGTATTATAGATGTGTAATTACTTATCTAGAAACTCACCTGGAACGTATACCTTCAGATATGACCTGTATAGGACACCAAACTTGTGATGTACTATATGAGACAGTTGCAGAAACGACAGGCTTATAAAATGGACGACACAGTTAGTGGCTGGTCTGGCACCTTAAACAAGGCTTGTACACAAGAGCCTAGGGCTGGCTCACAAGTTAAGCGTACCAGGTTACATCATTATAGGATGTGTCGTCGATCTAACATTTCTGTTGAAGGTTAAATTTATAGGTCTAGTGGTAGAACAAGCGAACTCTTATCAGATAGTCCCGTGTTTGTGAGGTGCACTTGATTACGTTCATGAGGCCACTCAGCTCTAATAAGTACCCGAACTGAGTCGGGGAAAGTAAAGGCGGCACGGCATAAAATCCCCTTTAAAAAACCCGATAGCAGAAACAGATACACTCCGTCAGGCTTAAAAGAATAAGCCCACTTTACTTAGATCGAAGTGTTCCAGAAGCAGTTAAGGCTTAACTAACCTAACCTAACCTAACCTAACCTAACCTAACCTAACCTAACCTAACCTAACCTAACCTAACCTAACCTAACCTAACCTAACCTAACCTAACCTAACCTAACCTAACCTAACCTAACCTAACCTAACCTAACCTAACCTAACCTAACCTAACCTAACCTAACCTAACCTAACCTAACCTAACCTAACCTAACCTAACCTAACCTAACCTAACCTAACCTAACCTAACCTAACCTAACCTAACCTAACCTAACCTAACCTAACCTAACCTAACCTAACCTAACCTAACCTAACCTAACCTAACCTAACCTAACCTAACCTAACCTAACCTAACCTAACCTAACCTAACCTAACCTAACCTAACCTAACCTAACCTAACCTAACCTAACCTAACCTAACCTAACCTAACCTAACCTAACCTAACCTAACCTAACCTAACCTAACCTAACCTAACCTAACCTAACCTAACCTAACCTAACCTAACCTAACCTAACCTAACCTAACCTAACCTAACCTAACCTAACCTAACCTAACCTAACCTAGCCTAACCTAACCTAACCTAGCCTAGCCTAGCCTAGCCTAGCCTAGCCTAGCCTAGCCTAGCCTAGCCTAGCCTAGCCTAGCCTAACCTAACCTAACCTAACCCATACCAACCCAACCCAACTGTGATGACGCAAGGTTACGTCGGAGGTCAAGTAGACAGAGGTGAGCAGAAACAGGCTATAGTTGGTTGGTTGTAGAGACCAATGAAAATACAGGAGCTGACCGGTCACGTGGGACGGTCAGCTGACCACTGGAGCGTGGGTCGGCAGTAAGGCAGGACGGTCGACATATGTAGAGCTAGGGAACAGTTAGATAGTGTTAGGATTGGTCATGGGAGTGCGTAGTTAGTAGTAGTAGTAGTAGATAGCATATAGTATGAACAGTTAGATAGAAGTAGTGGTACAGTGTAAATTAGTTAGGTAGGAAGTTGATTATACATTTTTAATAAAGAACTTTAAATTTGATTTTGAACGTGTGTGGTTGGATTCACTTCATCCTATATCCATTCACCCGTAACCTCAACCCAACCCAACCCAACCTACCATAACCTGCCCATTGACTATGTAGTGTAGCCTACACGTCACAAGCGATCATCGCTAGTTCGCGTCTGTTAGTCTCATGAATAATTAATCCGCCCGCCAATCAAAAAATAATAATTGTATTCATGTTACCTAGGCAACGACATGGTCTAAAGACCGTAAACGACCGTGTCAAACCAGGCCTTCGCATAGCTCGATGTTAATTTAATCAACTTTAAAAAAAAAAAAAAAAAAAAACCTTAGCAGTGGGGTTTACCGAACACATTTTTCAAAAACTTGTTGGGAAAATCCTTGGAGGTCTTGTCCAGAAAAGCCACGCCACTAATTTAAATAAACCGGGAGTGATCTCCCCTAAACTTTCTCGAATATTCTTATATAAAACAACAGGGGATGGGAACTCGGGATATAGTTATGATTTTTAATCCATTTTAAATACTTAAACTTTTAAAAATAGAATAAAATCTCGTAGAAAAAAGAATTGCACATCTGTGAACGCCAAAACAAAATGTGCATTATATTGCGCAATATTATTAGTACTTTATAAATTTACATGCGTTTTTTGAGAAATCGGAAATAGCGTAAATTAGTACTTCCAGTCAACGGAAATTACTCAAAATTTGATAGAAGGTAGAGAATTAGATCTTTTACTTACATGTGAAATTTCATTTATCTATCTGAAATGGTACTTATTCATATAAAAACATACACTTCTTTCGCGAGAATAATGAAATTATTAATCAAAATTAAAAAAAAAACTTTTTCTTTCTTTACTTACATCACCTGCTCAGTGGTTGTCTCCCATTAGCCAGGCAGGCCTCAACACGGCAAACTCCGACCAACTGGCTTATTTATAGGTTTAATTACCGTGTATCGGTCGCTTCTGTCCTTTGGTTCTCACCAGGCTTATCTTCCACCCCACTGAACGCAGGGTAAACTCGTACCCCACCGTCCAGTATTCGGTTCTACAATAGTAACAAATCACTTAAAAACTACGTCACTCACGTCAAATTAATGATTACTAACCGCTATGGACATACATTCTGAATAAAATGACATTCGCATTTAACGATATTCGAAAACGTCGGCACTTGGGCAGTGGCAAGCATGGGATTGTTGCCACGAGGCTGGCTACAGCACGGCTGGGCCTGGTGCCCAAATGGCTGTCAGCTGTCCGTATACTTTCTACCTCATAAACTCTCATTGTTCTCTGATGAGTGTTGTTATCCTGTTTAAAGTTGAGTTTCTTTACAGTATATTTGTTGCGAATTTTGAAAACGAAATAATATAATTATTAAATTATCTATATATATAATTCTCTTCTTGGATACCCTAGAAAACACCAAGCTGTAAGCGCGCCTTGCAGTCCCCTCTCTTCCTCTCTAGGCATATCGCAACCACCCCCACCCTCACATGGTCTAGTGAGCTGTGGTTCACGCTAAATGTTTACAATCGTAGAGCCGGGTTTAGTGACGGCTAGTAGGGGCAGATAATTTCGTTTGAAACGATTTTAAACTTAGGGGAGGTAACTAAGAGGAGGGGGGTAGGGTTTGGGGGAATGGAGGGTAGGGGGGGGGGTATCGTCCTTAACGAGCTACTGATATTGTTTTAAAGCAAAATATTTTCAGTGGCAGCATTGGTACTGTCGAATTCACAAATTATGAATTACTGAAAAGTAGAAAATAAAACAACTAAATAGCGGCGTATGATACGCTCGGGTCGGCTCGTACACTTTATTAAGCTTGAAATGTTTCAATCTAACCAACTCGCTGTGCAATTTCTTTAGCCTTGGCTTTCACCAGCTTGGCAACACCCCAGTGTCTTCAGAGCTCATCAAACCTGTCATTGAAGTTAGTTTTAACAGCATCAATAAGCTTGTTCAGACTTGGTCTATCCTCAGGATGAACTTGGGTACAAGCCAAGCAAGTTACAGCAGAGGCGCAGCGATCCTTCCCGGCGCCCGGGGACAAACTTTTGATTTGCACCCCCCTCGAACTTTTCATTTGCACCACCCCTCTCAAACTTTCAATTTGTTTTTCCAACCCATTTTGCCGCCCCCCCCCCTAAGGTCGGCGCCCGGGGACATATGTCCCCCGCCCCGCCACCCCCCCTCGCTACGCCACTGAGTGGCTGTTTTTCTGTGAACAACCTGTCCGAGACGTGCCTTGCCTTTGACAATACAATATGGGACTCCCATTTTACGGCACAGTGCAGGAAGGAAAAGTACAATCTGTAGTAAAAAGTGAATATTAATAGCTTTGTTTCGTAGCATTAAAAATACTGAACTGGGTTAATGAATGTGCTCAGTTGTCAAATTAACATCTAAAAAGCTTCAGGTCAAGAAATTCTATTACATCACAGCACATGTATTAACTGTTTACTTCGAAATATTTGTAGGCAATATTACTAAGTTACTATGGCCAGATACTGGCTAGATCTAGGACTATCAGATTTTTAACTAACCTCAATAGGATCTACATCATGGGCAATGACAACCAACCAGTGGCGTAGCCAGGATCGTCTCAAGGGGGAGGGGGGGGGGGGGTCCAATTTTTACCCGGGGACAAACTTTCGATTTGCACCCCCCCCCCCTCAAACTTTCGATTTGCACTCCCCCCCCCTCAAACTTTCTATTCGCACTCCCCACTCAAACTTTCGATTTGCACCCCCCTCATACTTTATATATATATATATATATACCGAGGGGTCTATGGGGGGGTTATGACCCCCCGTAACCCCCCCCCCTGTCTACGCCACTGCAACCAACTGTGCCTTTTTCGATTCAATCAGGGCTGTAACTGTGTTGATTCCTGATCTAACAACTGGTGGGCGCTTAGTTGGTGTATCAGCTTTGCCTGCAACACGATCTTCAGCACGGCCCCGAAGACGAGCTTCCTTTTGTTTTCTAACTTCAGGTCTGTATTTGTCCATCAAACGGAACAGCTGAATTGCTACAAGAAGAAATATTTGATTATGCCTACTCAATTGTATCAGATTAGACTATTCAGCAGCAGTATAAAATAATGTCCTTACCAGTCTGTCTGTCAAGAGCTTGGGTAAACTGGTTGATTGGAGGTGGAACCTTGAGACGCTGGTAGAGAATAGCTCTCTGTCTCTGGAGGCGAATGTACTTGGGCCATCTGACAAAGCGACTTAGATCTCTCTTGGGTTGAATGTCCTGACCAATGCCAAAATTCTTGGGTCTTTTCTCATTTATTTTTTAAATTTTTAAAATTATTTTTACTAAATTTTTATAATTTTTTTATTTTTAAAAAAAATTTATATTATTTTATAAATTTTAAAAAAAAATTATATATTGGGTCTTTTTAAAAAAGGATTTAAAAGCCGTAATAGAAAGATCCGCATGCGCCCAAATTTTTAAATAAATAATTTAGGATGTATTAGTACTTGAGTTAAGGTTCAGTAATGTTATTAAATCGTTTTTATTTCGTAGTTATCATTTCCAAAATAATAAAGAAGGCAGATTCCATGACAGTGTTGTTATCAGTCACTGGTGTAAAATAACTTCTCCATGACGTCATTTTTAAATTTAAAATAAAAATCACATTTTTCCGTCAGACACGGCTAAATGTTAAAGCTGGACTTTGACGGAGTTACATCTCCTTATGATTTTTTTACGACTATGGTCGTGGAGAAGTTCAAGGTGAGATAAAATTGTGAATAAAGTAAAAAGTGTAGATCTAGATTTAACGAAACAAATCAAATATTTAGAAGGCGCGTGTTAGTCACAAGGGACATAATCGTAAATAATATTTTAAGCTACTGGTGATGATGTGGTTATTTCCCTTTAATTCCCATTTCAATTTCCCCTCTTTGACAAACACGCATTTGCGCCTTATTTTTGCTTCTGAATAGAATTATTTTTAAAAATCTGTATAATACACTCGATGAAAATTTTCATAATACAATAAGCTATTTATTAAATCTATACATCTGACAAGCAAAAACATAATTATAAGAAAATAAAATCTCTCTCCTTGTCAACATTTCAAACAAGATTTAATATAAATTAAAATAGTCAACCTAGAATTCAAATTTAGGCAAAAATATACAGTTAAACAATACAGTAAAACAAAATCAATTAAATAAATACATTTTTTATTCAGGCCAAAGACTAGTTATTGGTATGCATCAAATATTTTTGTTTCATTATGTATCATTAAGTTTCTAAACAAACTAAATTAAGTTCATCTAAAAAGCTTTAGCTGCATTTCCATTTCCATTTCCAAACTCAAATTTTTATTTTTGGAGAAACAGGATTTAAAAAAAAAAAATATTTTAAATTCTTTTTGCCAATTGTCTAGATTTGGTAATAATTTATACAATTTTTAATAAGCTAGAAATACTAACATTGAAATAAATTGTTTCACTACCTATGACATCTTTTATGATCAATGCTTGCTTTTACCTTGCTTGACCAGAATTTTAAAATATTCACAAACTCAGATGACTGAAAAAAAACTCTTCATTTCATTTGTCAAAATACCAGTTTTATGCACATTATTTGTAAACAAAAATCTACTCATAAAAAAAAGTAAATACTGCATTAGAACAAAAAGAACAACATACAAAAGTGAATTACAAAGAGATTAAAATGATATAAACTTGATTCAATTCAGAAAATGAAAACAAATTCATGTAATAATAATAATAATAATAATAATATAATTTTGTAAGGCTTGGACCTGCGCTGATTAGATAACAGTTCCATTTATTTCAAGAAATTTATATAATCTTCCCAGAACTAATATTGCTATTATGCGCTGGGGGTCATCTATAAATTACATCATACTTTTTAAAATGATTTATTCCCCCCCCCTCCCCAGGTCACTAGGTTATGTAAGGTAGGTTAGCCAGTTGCCCATCCTGGGACATAGGCCGCTGACAAAAGCTTTCAAGGCGTCTCTGTCATGGGCTAGTCTCTCCAACTGTCCCCAGGTGTATCCAATCTTCTTTTGTCTTCGTCCACTATTTTCTAAAAAATCCGACCCTACTTTCCTTCCCCCCTAGAGCTGTGGCGTTATTTATAGATGACCCCTTTGATGGACATACTTAAAAGAAGTTTTGCGTTAAGTACTGGAGAAATCTAAGTTTCAGTTTATCTGTTGACTTTTTCCCCAACCAGTAAATTATTTAAAAATTATTTATATCTGCTCCATTTTATTCTCAAAAAAATAAATAACTCAAACAAAAAAAAGTAGCCACATTGCTTTTCAAACAACCATGAAAAATTTAATTCTCATTTCTTTTACATTTAACTTTTTTTTAATTGCTTGTTAAATATATTAACGAAGTGGCGAAGAAGACATCACAGTGGTAAATTGTCATAGTAACACAAAGGGATCAATTCACATCAAAACAGATCAATACTGACACATACAGGGGATCAGCAATCATATAAACAATACATGGTATTGATACCAAGAAAACAAACACTTAAAACAAAATATGGATATGTTAAAAAGTTCAAATACAATCTCATGAAGTGAAAGAAACAAATATGTTTAAGATTGATGTTTTTAATTTGATAGTTATACTAATCAGTAAAACATTATTATTCATGAGTGAACTTAAAGTCTAAATGTGCCATTTTAGTCACATAAAGCTTTTTTTTTTCATTTAAAAAAATATTTACAACCCACGCAATAAATATAGAATGTTGTAACAGGATTGAGACACTACCACTTAATTAACAAGACATACTGAAGTGCTAAATTAATTATTCAAATACGTTGACAAATATGAAAATGTGAATTTTTTAAAAACATTTATACAACTGATAAACAAAATATATTACAATAGAAAAGAAAAATCCACTACTTTAAGCTTTAGTGAAAGGAAGCAAGGATACACACATAAGTTCATACTTTTTGATTGCTTGTTATTTGATGTGGGTTTAATTATTTTTTAAAAATCTGGAGCTTGGATGATTTATATATTGTATAAACAACAATACACTGGAGTGGGTAAATAGTAAAGTAATAAATTAGGAACAAATCCCATAATTTACAATATGTAAACTGGATCCTCATAATATTGACTACAGACTACACATGATACAAGTCAATTACAAGCCATACCCCCCAAGTCAAATAGTTTTCTTAACTCTAAGCCCAACCTTAATAGAAAAAGTATTATTATCATTGGTACTAGTATAAGTTATTTATTTATGGTGCTAAACCTGTTAGAGGCGTATTTTTAATTATAAAATGTTAGTCCACACATCAATAATTATTTCGTATGAATAATGAATTAGGAGTTTGAAAAATCTGTTAAAAGAAATATTTATTTTAAAACAACAATTTAAATAAAAAACTTGTTTTTATTACTTCACAATTTTCATAAAAGACACAAAAATATACTCAAAATATTTATTAGTAGAAAGTCACTAATTATTTCATTTCAAATAATTTCAAGGTGTTTGATAAAAAAAACAACAATTGAACTGTAACAAAAATTGAAATTTCATTCAGCAAATTTTTCCATATTTTCTAATTACCTTACTGTATTTATACATTTAATATAAAAAAAAAACTAACACAAGAAAAAACAGTTGATATATGCTGGTATGGAAATATTTTACAATGTTAACTGATAATTCAATGTTCAGTACCATTTGAATGATGTAGAGATGATCACGCCAAATCTCTTCCATTGTTTGAAAGACTAAAGTAAGGTAAACACAAACTTCTCAATGAAGCTCTTCATTAAGCTCAAGCTTAGCTCTTCAATTAGTTCAAACTCAATCCCAAGCAAATCCCACTAAAACACAGCACTGTGTTTAAAGACACTAGACAGATTTCTCAAAGCTACCACCTCGATCCCACTGAAACACAGCATTGTGTATATAGACACTAAACCCAGGACAGAGGTTTTAAAACTACCACCTTAAATCCCACTGAAACACAACATTGTGTAGACAGGACAGATGTCTTAAAACTACCAACTAAAACACAACGCTGTATGTAAAAACACTAAACAAAATACCACTGTCCTAAAACTACCACCCCAAATCCCACTGAAACATTGTGTTTAAGGACACTGTAGACAGGACAGATGTCTTAAAACTACCAACTAAAACACAACACTGTGTATAAAGACACTAAATAAAGACCACTGTCCTAAAACTACCACCCCAAATCCCACTGAAACATTTTGTTAAAGGACACTGTAGACAGGACAGATGTCTTAAAACTACCAACTAAAACACAACGCTGTGTATAAAGACCGCTGTCCTAAAACTACCACCCCAAATCCCACTGAAACACTGTGTTTAAAAACACTAAACACAGGACAACTGTCTAAAACTACCACCCCAAATCCCACTGAAACACAACACTGTGTTTAAAGACACTAAACAAAAGACCACAGTCCTCAAAACTACCACCCCAAATCCCACTGAAACACAACACTGTGTTTAAAGACACTAAACACAAGACAAATCTCTAAAACTACCACCCCAAATCCCACTGAAACACAACACTGTGTTTAAAAACACTAAACACAAGACAAATGTCTAAAACTACCACCCCAAATCCCTCTGAAACACAACACTGTGTTTAAAAACACTAAACACAGGACAACTGTCTAAAACTACCACCCCAAATCCCTCTGAAACACAACACTGTGTTTAAAAACACTAAACAAAAGACCACTGTCCTAAAACTACCACCCCAAATCCCACTGAAACACAACACTGTGTTTAAAGACACTAAACAAAATCCCGCTGTCCTAAAGCTACCACCCCAAATCCCACTGAAACACAACACTGTGTTTAAAGACACTAAACACAAGACAAATGTCTAAAACTACAACCTGAAGTCCCACTGAAACACAACGCTGTGTATAAAGACACTAAACAAAAGACCACTGTCCTAAAACTACCACCCCAAATCCCACTGAAACACAACACTGTGTTTAAAGACACTAAACAAAAGACCGCTGTCCTAAAACTACCACCCCAAATCCCACTGAAACACAACACTGTGTTTAAAGACACTAAACACAGGACAAATATCTAAAACTACCACCCCAAATCCCACTGAAACACAACACTGTGTTTAAAGACACTAAACACAGGACAAATATCTAAAACTACCACCCCAAATCCCACTGAAACACAACACTGTGTTTAAAGACACTAAACACAGGACAAATATCTAAAACTACCACCCCAAATCCCACTGAAACACAACACTGTGTTTAAAGACACTAAACACAGGACAAATATCTAAAACTACCACCCCAAATCCCACTGAAACACAACACTGTGTTTAAAGACACTAAACACAGGACAAATATCTAAAACTACCACCCCAAATCCCACTGAAACACTGTGTTTAATAACACTAAACACAGGACAACTGTCCTAAAACAACCACCCCAAATCCCACTGAAACACAACACTGTGTTTAAAAACACTAAACACAGGAAAAATGTCTAAAACTACCACCTTAAATCCCAGCATCAACTGTCGGTATCAGATGAAGAAGTTTCCCTATTGAATGGTGTGAGTTTCTCCGAGTGGTAGATCCTTGAGATCTGCATGAGCAGGGGACCAGTTTCTGGATCATTGAGCCACTGGCTGGCTGTGATGGGGTTCTCCAACATTTGGAGAAAAGCTTTCAGGAATAAACAATTTTTTAAAATTAATAAATGGGTTCAATTATTTTATGTAAATATACAGAATCAGTTTTTAAATGGCAGGATGGATAATAGTATGGTTTATTTAAATTTAAAAAACTTAAAAAATATAACAAATAAAGGAGAAAAAACAACAAAGTAATCATAAAACTAATGACATTTCAATAAAGGGATTAATTAGCATAAGGGCTTAATTAGCTTAAAAGGGCTTAATTAGCTTAAATTTTCCTTAAAAAAATCTCCAAAAAGCCTATTAAAAAGAAAAGTATTTTGTCAAGACCATTGCACAATTGTCTTTATTATTTTTGAGACTTGAAACAAATTTTTCTAACTCGATAACCCTTCAGAAAGCAGTTTTTAATTTATGCCACTTCTAACATAAAAGAGAAAATTTATATTCAGTTTTCGACACTTACAACATGAAAAAATGTCTTATGCAATTATGAAATGACCTTGACAAATTTCAGAAAAAAGTGAAAATACTCTTTGAAATTAGCATCATAAATCTATTCTCTTATGTGAATAAATAAGTTTAAATTATCAAACAAAAGACTTAATAATTTCTTTTATGCAGCTGAAGATTTAATTTATATTTTTTCTGTAAATAGTTAATGCAATTTTTAGATATTAAAATCCTATACCTGACACTATTATGAAAAAAACAATTCACTGTTTTTAAAATAAGCCTGTACAATAGCCAATACTCACCCAATAAACAGCGGGGACTGTTGAGACCTAACTGAACACTGGGGTGAGCTAGAATTGCCTTATATACCGGACTGTTGGGGTCAAGGCCTTCATCGACATTGTCCGACCTGTCCGTCTGTTCACTCAGCAGCCAATCACACTGATATAAACAAAAACATAAGTCAGTAACCACTGCAACACATCACTGGCAAGTGATTAGACAGTAAGAATATCTTTGTGATTTTCTGAGTGAGAATAAAGAAATCTTACAGCTGCGTCTTGGTTATTGCGAGACATTCTTAAGGCATGGATGGCTTCTTTCTCTGCAAAACCCATTTCTATTAGATTCTGAAGAGCCTAAAAATGGAAAATATACAGCAGATTAATAAGTATAGTATTTGTATTCAAATAAACCAAAAATAATCACACTAAGACTATTTTAGTCTGAAAAAGACAAGACACAATTATTTGAGATTTTGAAGAGCCCAATAGGTATCTATGTTGTTGATCCAGTAAACCTCATGGCTGCTAAACTAAAAATACCCAGGAAAAATAGGCTTGGTAGCTAGGGACAGCAACTCATCAAAATCAAACAACTGCTGCTTTGAAGTATGTTCTTGGATGGACAAAGGATGCGACGGAAGCTAATACAGAAAGAAAAACAAGCTGAAATCACTGTCAGTGGCCACGTGGTGCATAACATGTTGACAGGTACGGTTTAATTGGGTTGGAGGATATCACATCCAACATGACAATTAAGAATGAAGAAGAAAAGTCCAAAAATTAACAAGATCAACTGGCTGAATAAAAGCACATATGTTTAGATAGAATAAATAAAATTACTCTAACAGAAAAGGCCAAAAGCCGTGAAGAGTAGATTTATGACACTTTTTTGAGAGCTGTTACAGAGCATAAGCAAAAACTACGTAAGAGTTAGGTGGGAACTGGACAGCATGGTAGAGTGGTAGAAAACATGACTGCTAGCTCATTAGTCGCCACTTTAATTTTGTGTGATGTGCCTGAGTTAACCCAGCTCTGATGGGTACCTGGGTCAAGGAAAGGAAAAATAGCTGAGCATTGTCCAAGATACTTTCATGGCCACTCTATCTACCATTAGATCAGAAAATATATGGAAGATCTCAAATTTAAGACCATTGTTTTAGTGACTATGAGAGTACTTTACCCTTGGGTTGGGTCGGAACTCTCTCCGCTGGAAGGCACGGATAGTCTCTAAAATATTTTTAAACCTGGGGGCTTCAGCACCCCCGGTGGCGCCCTGCAGGCCCTCAGCGGAGTTGAGCTCTGGAGCAATCGGCACTTCCTCTGGTGTTGTTTTAGCTTCAACAACCTCTTCAGTGCTTGCCTCTTGGCCAGGGAGGGGACTGTCAATATCAGGGTCTGATTCATTTGTGAGGAGCCACTCCATAGCTGACATCACAGACTGCCTGCAAGTGGTGACCATAGTACAACTATTTAAACAATTAGTTTTTTTGATATATGCACAACTATTTTACCAATTAGTTTTTAAATATATGTACAACTATATTACCAGTTTTAAACTTTAGGTACATATATTTAAAATATTAGCTTTAATATATATGCAGTTACTTAAACCATTTTAAAATATAAATTTAAAATATATAATAAGGTAGTTATGAATTTAAAAGATATACAGCTATATAAAGATTTTTATTATAGTTCTGTCCAATCATTATTTCAAATAATGTGGATTTTCATTTTAAATGTACATTATATTAATCAACTAATTATTTTCAAGAATTCTTATCATTGATAAGAACTAGGAAATTTATTAATATTTATAATAATTCATTTTGCACATGTTTCTACAAAGAAAATAATTTAAAAAGTTAAAATAATGTTTTAAATAAATTGAAGACTTCATAAAAAATAAAATACTGGGCTACATACTGGTTTAGTAGAAGAGCTTTCTTTGCTCTGTTTTCAGGAAAACCCATATCAGTGAGTTGCTTGACATTGGCTTCAGAGATCCCTGACTTGCGTGTTGGAGCTTCATTTAGCATGTCTGTGGACAAATAAGTTTTGCTTTAGACAAGTTTTAGATCAAGTTCACTAGCATGTCTGGGAACCAACAAATCATGTTTTAGACAAAGTTTTAGATCAAGTTCACAAATAAGTCATGCTTTAGACAAGTTTTAGATCAAGTTCACAAATAAGTCATGCTTTAGACAAGTTTTAGATCAAGTTCGCAAATAAGTCATGCTTTAGACAAGTTTTAGATCAAGTTCACATAATGAATTCAATTGATCAACATGGGATGGTATAATTGAATGGCCAATAAGAAACTTAAAAAGCTTTGGCAGATGAATCAGTGTCTATAAGACACATGTAAATCTACTCTGCTCTCATGAGTACCTGACTCTTGTTAAGAAAGTAAAAAAGACTTGGCATAATGCTAAATGCAATAACCCTCCATATGCGAAATCACAAAAACTCTACTTCACCTAATGTATGGACTATCAGGTTTAAAAGGGGCAATTTTTTTTTTACATTTTAATCAATATTTTGACAGTACAAACACAGCACACTTTATCAGCGTTTTCCCCAATTGAGCAGCTAACTCCAAATAAAATTAGAATTCCAATCAGTTATGATGATTGGATTATGATTACTTTTAAAATTACAATTTTTATATTAGATGGATATTTTTAAAATAATTTTTTTGATTATTCAAAATTATCCAATAAATAATAATCCAATAAAAATGCAAAAAACGTGTAGGTTTTGTTTCATGAATCCAATTCAGTTTCAATGTGTTTTAGTAGGTTGCTAACAACTGACTCATTACTAATTACATTTTCTAATTAATAAATTGTTGGCTACCACACTGAAGATTTTTGTTAAGATTTTTCTATTTGCAATTTTTTTAAAGTCACCAGATGTGAAAGATTAAGTTTAGATATAATATGATAGGTATTCCTAGAATTTATTGATAAAGAAAATTAATTTTACAGACCATTTACAAAACATAAATAAAGTAAAATTCAATTTGACTGATTCTGTCAATTATTGTACATCAATTTTCCTGTTTTCATATTACTTTTAAGCCTTAACAAAAAAACTTTTCCAGTATACTAAAGCTTATACATTATAAAATATTTTTAAACAAACACCTTCAGCCTGTTTAAATATCTTTGCAGCCTCTGGGTTGAGACAAAGGATTCGCTGTGATGCTTCAATCAGAGAGATGAGAATTCTCCGCAATTCACTCTGAAACTAGAGAAAAGAAAGGAATTCTCAAACATAAAACAGATTATGAAAATTCACTTCAAAATATTTTTTTAATTGTGGGAAAAATATATTTTCATATACATTGCTAATCAAAATGAAACATAAACTAAGATTTACAGGCAATAAATTATGTAAATGTGCAAACAAAACTATTTCAACAATTACATAAAAATGATTTGAACCAAAAATTTATTGTTGACTACTGTGAATTAACTGAAATATTTTATAATGTTCTGGTTGTTACATTTTTAACAAAGTTGACTACATAAAATGGAAAAAAAGAAAATATAAAAATACAATGGTGATGGTGATAAGCCAATGTGACCTGGTCAGTTTAATTTACTTACATCTAGACTGGATGTGGGCTCCTCTGCTGGCATGTCATGGTTTTTCTTGGGTAAGTGTGCTGTGGCTTTACGTATTGTGGCTATATCAGGTGCCTTCTTATCATCACGCAGCCTGTCAGCATCCAACACTGAGGCCACTAGGCGTTTCTTTAACAACAGGAGTTCATCTGTGGAGTTGAAATCAACATTTACTTTTACTAACAGTATAACTGACATGTGGTTTATCATACAACAAAATAAAATAAGCACTCTGTCAGCCTATGCAGCAGATGAAATAGAGTTGATTTGGTTTGTTTTGGCTACAGCTTATAAAAACATTGCTTGTCCATATCCAAATCCAACTTCTTTTCATTTACTCCCACTCAGAAGAAAGAAAACATTACAAAGTAGACTCAGCATTATCCTACATGTTCAAGACTTAAGACTAAGGGTATATGCACTCTGTAGAAGGCCTACTGTGTTATTCGTCAAATTTTAAACAATTAAGTATCAAACAATGGCTAAGTTTACATTTACTCATACATTTTAGATGGCATATACCCTACAATTACAAGGTTCTAAACTATGTATTTCATATAAGCTGTATAAGCCTGGCAAATCTAGGGTGTGTTAGAAAAGTTTTACCATTTTCTCGCACCCCTTGTTGTGCTAAAGTACTGTCATCAGCTAAAGTTTTCCCAGTCCGTAGCAATATCAGTTTAAACATAGAGGAGTTTTTCAAAGCATCATTTGATATTCCAGTCAAAGATGGAGGCAGGTCAAGCAAATGATCTAATGATAACTTCACCTGAAAGCAAAGTATTTCATTTTTCATTAGTTTTATTTTGTGCAAATTAAAACTATTTTATAACTAGACTTGACTATAAAAAATAATAAAAAGAACTAAAACAAAATGTTTTTAAAAACAAGATCAAGAAACGCTGCAATTTTGCAATTTTACAAGTACCTTTTCACATGTCCAGTCTTTACCAACATCCACCACAGCATCTACACCATTCATATTAGTCACTCTGACCTTCATCATAGCAGAAGGAGGGAACAAGAAGGAATCAGACACAACCATTTAGAAGCTCATCTGGTGCAGGGGGTAGAAAATAGGTTTTGGCTGAAAGTGAAAAAGTACAAAATATAATGAGAAGAAATGATATTATATTTATTAGGGTTGTCGGCATCCGCCGAGTTCGCGGTAAAAACATGACCCGAAATCGCCCATTACTTTCTGATACCGGACCCACGAGATTTGGTTTTGCATACTAATAAGTTTTTAATTTATGGTAATTAATTAAGTTTAAAAGGTCATTTCCTAAGGTTAATTAAAAAGTAGAGTGGTTGTCCCTTAGTTTTAATGGCTTTGCGACCTGATTGCATGCTGTCTCTGCTTTGGTCTTCCCCCTGTATCAAGGTTAGTTTCAAATACGTTGGAATCTCGATTTTTTAAAAGATTCCTCTAGATGAGAGTAGATTACTGATCAGACATATCTTAAGTAATTGGAAATGAAATTTGTTTTTGGATATTTTGACTCCGACATTAGTTATACCCCTCCGAACGTAGTCACTGTATGTAGGTCACGCTGCCACCATTGTTATATTTTTTCATCCCGATCTTCCTGCCTTTAAGTTTGATCAACTAATAACAGCAATCTTATGGCATGTGCAAACAAATCTAATTTTTTATTTCAAAATATATTTACATACCCATCTTTAATTTTTTCAGCTCTAGTTATAGTTTTCTAGAATATGTTTTTCCTAAAAATCCAATTTTGTCAGACTAGACTCTAGACTGACAAGAGTCAGACTCTAGATCTAGGTTACCTGTCTGTTGCTATACACTAACATTGTGCTAACTGTAATTTTAAGTATTCAAGTTCTACTTACCCTTAGATATAGTTATATGCTGAAAATCAGAATCCATACACAATTCACACATAAAAACATTGATCTGATAACTTCATTTCACTTATTACAAAATGGCTTTTATATGGACTCTACTTCACCTGCCCAAAATAACAAGGCAGTTATAGACACATTACAGTGTTCATGACATTTACTTTAGATTTCTGACTATGGAGTTCTTTCATTCACTGTATTTATATAAAATATTGCTTTAGAAACATTTTCATATTTGCGCAGCAGTTTTATAACAAAATGGCTTAAAGATGGACTCTACTTCACCTGCCCAAAATAATGAGGCAATTATATGCACATAACAGTGTTCAAGTCATTTACTTTAGATTTCTAACTTTGTAGTTCTTTCATTTGCTGTATTTATATAAAATATGGCTTTAGAAACATTTTCATATTTGCGCAGCACACAGTTTTTTGGGGTTATGGGAGGAAGCCAACACAAAAATATAAGTTCTGTATTATTTTTATTAATTTCAACAGCATTTACAAGTTCTATATATCATTCTAGTTAAACTCTGCAAATATGAACAAAATACAACTGCAAGTAAAATAACTATGCTCAATTTATTCAGGTATACCATGACTTGTCACAATTGGCCAATGCAAAAGCAAGGGGATTCCACCCCTCACAAAAAAATTCGCCAAAAAAAAACTATTTGAGCTAGACAGAAAATCTTTTTTGTTTTGTTTTCATATAGTTGAGCTCTACAAGAATATGTAATTTTTATTTTTATATGATGATTAGTGTTTTTTTACCTAAATCCCTATATTTATAAAACAGAAATAACAAGAAATAACACTGCATGATAATTAAAATGTCATTTGTCTGTCTCAGTGTTCAAACAGAAAAGTACCTATGACTTGAAGTATTTAAATTGTATTTGGTGCTTTGGTAGAAATAGCTGTTAAATATACAGTAATGTAGAGAAACTGCACCAAAGTCAGTCTAAAACCTCAAGGTAATAAAAAGGAGAAGGAACACATTAGGCTGTACAGATAACACTCTCCTAATTAAAGTGATGTGATAATGATACATACATAACATTAGGGGGTCGCTGATAAATGATATCACACCTCCTGGGGGGGGGGGGGGGGGGGGTCATAATTTTGTGATGATGTGTGACAAGGGAGGGGGTTCAGATAGTGTGACGTCAAACTTTTGCATTTTAAAAAAGTAATGTTAGAAACCAAATTATTTAGAGGGGGAGGTAAAAATTGTCAAACAAAAAGCTTGACGTCTTTACTTTTAATGGATCAAGCTAGACAGGTAGGAGGGTTTTTTGCTAAAATAGTGATTAATATTAATTACTTGTCATTTTCATGCTAGATCTGATCAAATTAATTAATAATTACTGTACTCTAGGCCCTAATGCCTAATAATTAATATAGAACTTTCAAATAGAGCTTTCATTTTATAGGCTACTCAATCAAAGTGAATCATGATTGCAATTCAAAGACACAAAGGATGATGTTGATAAGATGATACAGAGAATGGAAGTAAACTAAATAAATAAAACAAAGCTGGACAAAGCAGTAGTACAGTAGGCCTGAGTAGTGAGTAGTAACTGAGAAGGCCTACAAAGTTACTACAAACCTGGTAACTAGGATATTTCGGAACAGCACATCGTACTACTTTATGATTTCTGCAAGCAATAAAAGAAATTTTGCAAAACCAATACAAAAGTAGGTAGGTCTAGTCGTTTTTAATTATTAAGATTGTTAAACAAAGAGTAGATTTAAATTCTGTAGTCCAGATCTAGATCTAGATTTCTAGATCTTTGTAGTTTATGTAAACATTTCTGTTATACTGTTACTTTTATTTCCGGTACCAGTGATAAACAAGGTACACTACTCTATAAAAATAAATGTCGATTGTCTCGCTAAACACCGAAAAGCATTGATTCTCTGAAAAAAATCTTATCATATCCTGAGTCCTGAAGCGGCCAAGGTCTAACATCTTTTTAAAACCCTAAGCGCATGGCATCATTTAGATCTATAGACGGTCAGAGAACTTAAACGAAAAAAATTCTCAATACATATTTAGGACTTCGAATAAAAAGTACGATTTGTTGAATGGCAATAATATAAAGTACAGCACTACAATGCCTTTAATTTAACCGGGCTTTAACATAAATAAGGTGATCGTCTATAATTAATTAACGTTACATTCGTGGGGAGGGTGTGGAAGACTTTGATGACAACATGTTGTTACGTCGATGGGTGCAATCTAGTTTTCTTGCTGTACGTTCAAATTGGGAAAAGATGGGACATCTTGGACGAGTATTAGAGCGCACTGTTTCTAATGTAATAAGAACAAAGAATAAAAATAAAGCTACACAACAGCTCGTTCTTATTTGTAGCATTCGTTAAAATTACACAAATAGTAAAACAATGTTAAAGTAAAAAACAAAACTATTTGTTATAATTATTACAAAATGAGTATTAGTGTGCAATCTGCACTACTATTGTAAATATTTTAAGTCTTAGTAGTGATAATCAATAACTTAAATCACTTGTTTAACTTTTGATCTGGCAATCGTATAAAACATTGCGTTATTAGTTACAAAATGGCGTACAGGTCGTAGTTTAGTTTTAGACAGAAATAGTTGTTGGTGGGGATTAATATAGATATATTCTATACGGAACCTAATTTAGGTAGGCTTTATTACACCAAATTGTTTAGATTGATGTGGTGAAAACTCTTATTCGTAAATTATCAATATTAGCAGGCCTACACTCCTACAATTTAATTTTTTTTTAGGTAAACTATCGTTTTTTTAGGTACGTACTAAAATCGCCCGCGACTAGTAATGTGAAAAACAGGTGACTCCTTAAATTTTAATAATTATTTCATATTTTGAGGAGGATTTATGTTTTGAAAAATAAAAAAAAATGTTTCCTTGTTTTATTTATGTCCTGGTTTAAACAATTGAATTAAAACTTTTCAGTAATAAAAGAAGACTAGCAATGTTTCCAACAGATGCAACCATGCTCATTTACTATAGCAGCCATCTTGTTTATATTTTTTTTATTGTAAACTTATAGTGTGAGATTCAGGGGAAGCCACTCTAACTTACAGATGGCCGCTTTTTAAATAGCAAATCCTGCTCGCAAATACTGCTGTTTAAAGTTAATTTTTTTGCCTATATTCAAACTATATTGATATATTTAGCCATTGATTTAGGTTTATTATTCATTTATCTATAATATTTGACACAAATATATCACAATATACTTCTATTAAAGCCTTCATAATAAGGTAACTTTTTCGTACATTACTAGCCGCGGGCTATTTTACATACCTAAAACAATAGATTACCAAAATTTAACATCTAGTCATTAGTGAACCAGGACTAACTGAGGGTAGCTGTCAGTAAATGAGCACGTACATACATTACAGATTTCAGACTGTACTGTAATGAATGACACTGACTAATACTAATAGTAATAGTACTAAACTAAGTACTAATAGGCCTATTATTATTAATTAACTAAGTAATACTAATAACTACAAAACTAGTGTAAGTAATCTATAATTCAATAATATTTGAGTTTTTGTAAGTAGTAACGGTGAGTTTGTCTAAAAGACTTAAATTATCAAAAGAAGACCTAGTCATTATTAAATATTAATAATATTTTAGATTGTTCCTTCTCAAGATTCACACTAATATTATTATTATTATTTATTTATTATTTTATTGAAATTATTACTAGATCTAGATTCTATTATTTATAAGTAAGTACGTTTTTAAAACCAAACATAAATTTGAAGTGAAAAATATTGAATAGCCTACTTAATACTACTTATTCTAGATCTACTTAGCATATGCCATAGAAAAAAAAATGTCTGAGGAGAAAAATGTTGAAAACACTGGTGATTTTGAGGATAATGAAAAGGAAGAGGTACTTAGCAGTCATGAAGCCACAAGTGACCAAGAAACAGAACTAAGTAGCAGTCAGAAATTCGAAACTACTTCTCAAAACCATGAAGAATTTATAGTGGTCCCCGTAGAAGATGGGAAGGATGGGAATTCAAGTGAAGTTCAGAAATCTTCTTCACCATCTGCACATAGTCATCCAAACCAAGGTTGGTTTGTTATGTTTACTAACACAAGATAATCTTATTTATTCTTTTCCTTTTGAAAATAAACTCGAATTAATTGTAATCAATATATGTTGTTACATTGTCTAACTAATGAATTTATAAGCTTTTTCTTAATCTATTTTTTCCTTCATAATTTTTAACTTGTATTTAATGTATAGTTCAGTTTCTCAACTCAATGTCTTTTTCTACTTTTGATACTTTAAAGTTAAACCACTAAGTGGCAACAATATATCCACCCTATAATATTTTTTAGTATTTAAAAAATGTATACATTTATTTTAAATGTTGTATGTGTTTCTAGACAATCTCTTAACACACCTTGACACTATGGTTGACAATGAATCAGTGAGCTCATCACACACTCAGCCATACATCTCAATACTTGCTAACTATAAGCAACAGATGAAGCCTTTGGTCTCCAATGTACCAAGAGGTCAGTCTTATGTTGACAAAATAGCAACATCAATAAGCTATGCCAGAAAGAGAATTGATGCCCGCCCTGTGGTGAAAACTGCGAGAACTCGCGTTCCTCCTAAATTTCTGCACCTCTCAAGTGGGAAAAGCCTGCCCAGCAAGTAAGAATCTTTTCTTGAATGAGTTGTCCATAAATGGCATTGTATGTTGGTAGACTTTTCTTGCCAAAGAAGCAAGCTACTGGTTAATTTGAGTTTTAATTTAGTTAAACATACAAAATTACCTGTGAATTTAACTAGAAAAAGAATATTTCCAAATAACCTAGTGTATTAATATTACTTTTTTTTTTATTAGCTTACAAAATATAATTTTTTTCTATTTGTAGAAAAAAGTCAGGTGATTTATCTCCCAGTCTTTACTATGAAGTTCCTATAAAACCCCACAAAGTGATCACATGGGACGAAGCAACCAATGCCAGGCCACCTTTGCGGATAGATATGGAAGGGCCTGGTCCTTGCACATACAATCCAACAAAGAAACCCCTGAATGAAAGAAATGCTCCTTCTTATTCATTTGGCACAAAATGTTATCCAGAAAAAGGTTAGCCATTTTTTTTTTAAAAATTAGTCAATTTCTACAGTAAAATCTGGGACATATTGGTAAGATGGTAGAGTGCCTGAGTTCAAACTTGAAAGTTTTGAGTTCAGATCCCGAGTTCGAGTGTGTAGGACATTCCTGAGACCACTCACCTCTAATGAGTATGACTCTTATTAGGTAAAGTAATTAAGATCACAGAAACATGTGAACACTACTTCATCTGCCCCAAAGATTGCCAGGTCCTAAGGAGTAACTTAACAAATTTTTCATTAACAAGCACATGTTAAAGACCTAACTTTTAAATTCTTTAGTCAAATTAAAAAAAAAATTAGCGCTTGTATAGAAGGCAAGATTTTTTACAGAGTAATTTTTAACTGTTTGGTATAATTTTGCATTTAATATTTAAGGAACATACTTACTGAGTGTATTTTTGGTTGTTCAAGCATTAATACTAAAAAAAAACAGCTCAGTTTGATATAAAATTACATGATTCACTACTTGTACACAAATTGCTATCAACATATCTTGTATCATTGATCTCTTTGTTAAGTGTGTGATAGTTTATTATTGACTTTAAATCAGTACTTTGTAAATATACTTTTATAATAATGCTTAAGCATTTAACCTACACAACTTTAAAAAATTCAGTCTCCTACTTTAATTAGGGTAGATTATTTTTTCAATGCATTTTGTTCTTACATAATATTTGCTTTGTGTTTTTGGCTTATAATTAACATAAACATATGCCATACAGAGGGTGGGGCCAGGACTGCTTGGTCTAAAACCTGGTTTCAATCTAATGATGTCTGGTCAAACAAAACAGACTATGACAGAGAGACCATTGTAAGTATCCATCTTAATTACCATCTGAAAAAAAATATTGTAATACTCATCTACATTTATTATTTTTATTACCAGTTTTTCTTATTGTATTTGCTAGAGTACTTGCCTGCTTCTGTCTAAAAACTTCTGTGTAAAATCCATACATTGCTATCCATTCACCTGGCCAGTGCATTAAATGGTTGAACTTGCCTGCAAATGTCTTGTACTAACCTTGATCAATGTCTACATAAGTTCATCACTAAATGTTATACTAAATTCTATCTACATTCAAACTAGATCTATACCGCTGAGTAAAAACTTTCCCCCTCTCTGCTAACCAGTAAGTCTCGATTTTGAATCCAGGTTAAATAAGTAGACCGTCCCTGAGTCCACCGAACTCTGATGGGTACCTAACTCTATTTCACTTGCCCTATAGACCGTCAGGTTTGAAAGGGAACTTTACTTTACTTTTATTCTCTGTAATAAGAAAATGTTTAGGCCTTCCTGTCAAGTATAATTGTTAAAGGGGCAGTAACTTATTAACTATTGTATTTTTACTCATGTAGTGGCCTACTCCTAACCTGTACCACAAAGGCTCATTATTAGGCCCAAGGCAGAGGACGATGCCAGAAGCCCCATCCTACACTTTTGGACGCAAGCACCAACCAACAAAGCAAGGTATCCATTATCATATTTAACTAACCTGCTTGTTCAGTCGTCTCTAAAATTGTAATCCATAAACTAATAGGGGGAAATGGAAACTATATATCACTTATTTATAAATTAAAGAAACCTATTTTATTTTTAAAAAGGTAATGTATTTGTTTTGCATTTTTAATTCAGCATCTGAATGATTATATTTCAGCTGTGAAAGAATCCCCCTCCCCATGTGAATATAGCAGAGAGATAGCTGATAAGCTTATACTAAAACAAGGACCATCATTCTCTCATCAATTTAGGAGAGAAGGGACAGTACTCTGGGGAACGAGTGGTAAATGAAATTGTTTATGTATATCATCTTGATTGTTTGTGCCAATATATCCCCACCTTTACAGATATTGTAATTTCCATCTCTGATTTATTAGCCTATATTTTATTTAAAATGATTTTTCTTTTTTTTGTACATAGATGCTATTGCTTATTTAAATTTATTTTGAAGTTTCTATCTGTGAAACATTTCTTTTGTTTTTGTTTTTTTTGGTTACTTTCTTTTACTTTGATGATAGTTCTGCCTATTTTAAATTCCTCTAATGGCTCTTCTATTTGTTTGTTCTGTTTATTTTCACTATTTTGATGTTTTTTTCTGTCCCAGAAATAAACCCTGGTCCTGCAGCCTACAAGCCTTCATTAAGCCCACGGATACAGAAACCAGCCTTTACAATTCAAGGAATCAGACGAGAAAAGTCTCATGTATTAGGTCCGTACTGTACTATATAGTGTCATGAATTTTCATTCAAAAAACATCTTTTGTAAAAAAGGTAACATTAGGTAAAAAAATACAATTTTTGTGATTCTACTTTTAAATAGGTAAATATATTTTTGTGATTATTTTTAAATAGATAGTAACTTCTAGCTAAAAACAAAACTAAAAAAGATATTTGTTAATCAGTCGTAAAGAATTAGTTCTTAATGCAGTTTATAGTTTCTTCATAGATCTTATTATTCATTTAAATGATGTTTTATGAGCACTGGAATTGAACTTACTGTATACTTTTTGTAATCTACAAAAGTTAGTTTTAACAGGGCTAATCAGTCAGGCTATTTATTTTTTATTTTATGCTTTACCTATTCCTAAATAAAGACAGCATTAGAAAATAAAAATATTTGTAAGATTTAAAGTTGGAAAATTTAGTTTAATTAAAAAGCACATGGTTGCAATTTACAATAAATCAATACAACAAGAAGAAAACACAAAACCAAAAAAATTAAAACTTCTAATCACATATTTTAACTTTATTTATTATTTGCCATTTATTCAAAAAATGATTACAACGAAATCTTTTTTCTTGAGGCCTTTTTTGTGTGTATATTTAATTCACATATAATATTCACATTTTTAAATGTGATTTTGATATAGTTTATTGGTTTATCTATTTCTACTCCATATGTGTGTTGTTTATACTATTTTATTCCTTTGTAATTTTCAAAAATTGTTACTATAATATAATTTTGCAGCTTTATACCTTGGTAATCCCTTTTGTTGGTATTAATATTAATAGTGTAATACAAGTGTAAATTATTTTTTACCTTTATATGTTAACTGGTATTATAATATAAAATAACAAACGAATTACTCCTCTGTAATCTATTTTGGTTTTATAATGAAATATATTTTATACATCAAGTTGTTGGATATGTTAGAGCACATGTTGTTAATCAATTTTACATAGCTGTGTTTTTTATAAAAAGTATTTAAGACAGTTATTTGTTTTTAACTTTTCTTTTTACAATCTTCAGTAATAACTTACATTTGTTTTACCACGCTCAACAATCATGACACATTTACATATATCAGTTCAGAAATTGACCATAAGCCTGACTGTGATTAACTTTATCTCAATTGTCATTTTTTATTCCAATTAGTGTCAATCTTTTTTATTATGGCCATTATATTTTGTCAATTTTGATGTGTAGGCCTACATCTCTTTTTATATATATATAATTTTACCAAATTTTGATTGATACACCAGTTTATATGTAATATATTAAGTTGTGACATTTTATGCCAAAATAATGTATAGTTTTATACATATATAGTACCTTTTCTGATATTAATATGTTTTTTAAGATTTCAGTATTAATTTGAACATTTCAGTATTTAAACATAATTTATAATCAGTATTGTAATGACAGTCAGTATTGTTGATTTATACTAACAAAAACACCACCAATAAAGTTAGTAAGTTATCTCAGTTCAAATTATTTCCTGAAATGTTCTGTTGCTACTCGCCATTTTTTTAAAATCACAAAAGTAATAAAAAGTTCAATGTTGGTATTTATTACAGGTTTATTGATAAAGAAGTTAATGATAATTTAAATAAAAAAAACGAACATGAAAAATTTTAATTGTAAAAGTTGTAGGCATATATCTCTTTTAAGTTAATTGAAGAATATAAAATTTTATCAATAGTAATCAATAAATGTATGATAAATATAACAATGACAAGCACAAAAGTTTGATTAAAATTACATAAAAACATACAATCAACATCAGTAAATTACATTGGTATTGTACAACTTTCTAAAATATTTCTTGAAACAAATAAGTGCACTTTTTAAAAGGTACCAAACCTGTTTTGATTAATTAGCCAACACTCTTTTATGGTGGTGGTGAAAACCAAATACCAACCCATTTAAGACTTGACTTTTCATAGAGGCAGATGATGTAGAGTTCATCTGTTTGTCTAAGCATAAAATAAAAAGTTTTAAGATGGTACTAACTATGCCCAGCTGACATTATTTTCCCTAATTTGAGTTCAATTCTGATCTAACTGGGTATATACCACAGATCTGAATTCATAACATGAACTTGAGACTCTCCATTGACTAGATGTAAATAAAATAATTCTCTTTTGTTTGTTTAAAATATTTACAAAATAAAACAGTTTAAATAAAGTACTTTTGTTTATTGAAATACATGTATTCTTTTATACTTTAATAATTTGTTGCAACTAATTGTAAATGACTAGCATTTTTCAACAGGGGAGGGCAGGTGGGGCGACCGCCCCGGGCTCTGATCATAGAGGAGTGCCAAACGGGGTAGAACAATATATAAGAAGGTATTTCTGAGATGCACCCTCAGCATCATGAAAATACACTATAATTGGCTTAACAGACTGACTGATGGAATTGGTTTGTTCATCAGTTGTGTGACATTGTTTAAGCACAGTGACTGCTAAAAAGTGGGTGTGAAGGGGGAGGGGGCGAAGCGGGAATTTATAGATTAATCGCCAGAATGGGTCACTACACCTCTGTTTTTCATACCCTCATCAGTACTATTTCAATAATGAAGGGTGTTTTGTTAGTAGTGAAGTAGGTATAGGTTAGGTTTAGAGTTTAGATCTTGGGTTGGCATTAGTTTGTACTATAAGTTGGTAGTTGACTTCTTATAAGCCATAGCTCCCTTTTTTATTTTTAAATGTCTGTATTAGCCATGACAAACGACCCTGAAATTTTATTTTAGTTCATGAGCGAACATAAAAAAGTGTTTCTAATCTAATATGTTGGTATGATAGATCAAGAACTCTTCCGTGGTTCAGAATAGCTATAGAAATAAAAAAAAAATGTTTTCCCCATTCACTACAGGCTACTATGATATAGGGCAATATAGGCGATAGCAAGTTGTTTTTCATATTCACAACATACAGTAATCCCGCTCCCTCTTTTGAACTTTTAGCTATTGAAACTACTAAATATCAGACACCGTGTACTTTCTGGTGAAGTTCGTTTGTTTTCGGTTGGTCTAAACGCCGAGTGTTCACTAATAGCGAAGCTGATTTTGCTGCGAGGTTTGCTGTTGTTTGTTGGTGTTTCCGTTTCGCTTGATGTTGCAGGCACTGGTGGGGTTGACGACGGTGACGTATCGGTTGAATTATAGTTGTACTTGGATAGCTCAGAGGTTGGGTGAGGATCGTCTGGTAAAGGCGACTGAGAATCGTAGCAGTCTTCTTCTGTGACTGTCGGACACACGCGCTCCCCCGGTTTGATGCTTGTAGGTTTGACCACACTTCCGGTTTGGGAGTATGGAAATATGAACGGGTTTGATTGTTGAAACATTTTTAGGCGCTGGTGACGCCGCCATTTTGCTCGTCTGTTGGAAAACCAGACCTAGGGATGGAAGAATTTAATTTTTTAAACATTTTCTTTCATTTTTTTTTAAGCGGCGAAAGCGTTTTGCTTGATTGTTACTTTAAAAAAAAAAATAAAAATTTTGTCTGGCGACCAAAAATAAATCTTGTCACTTGGTAACGGTTCCACTACCCCTCCCCCTCTCCCGTCTCCCCGAGGGTCACCGTCCTGTTAACTTTCTACTAAGGACCAAAAGCGGTTTTGCAACTTGTATTTTGTATGCTCTGTGTAGGAGCGGCGTGGTCGGGAAAGAGCGTGAGATTGCTTACTCCAGAAGTCCAAGGTTTGGCAGATGAGGCTCATTGGCTGGGGACTGCAACGCCTCTGGGGGGTGACACCATTAAGTGCCGCACCGGGGTGACACCCGACCTCGCTACGCCACTGCTGTGACGACTTGGACAAAGCTATTGGTGAATTCAATAATGGATGTCGGTAGATTTACATCTACAACGCGAATCCGCGCAGCCGCGTGCGTGGCGTTGATGGAACATAACATGTGACACGACCGCCTCCCCGGGCTAAAAATAACTCGCTGGACCGACCTAGTGTACTGAATGAATAACTTTATGCAAAGTAGCTGGACACGCGTTGTAATGTCCAGCTGCCTCTAGTGGTATATCGATAAGAGATGGTTAGTGTAGATTAGCCGGTTGGGATACTCGGGGCTAGTGGTCACTCTCTATTTAACCAACCACTCCCCAGGCTATTATTTTGTCAGGGTAGGGAGGGCGTCCATAAATGACATTGCGCACAAAAGGTGAGGATGCTGGTTGCCACTTTGACGTTGTATTAAGAATTGGAAGAGTGGGGAGAGGGGGGGGGCTTAAAAAAAGTACTATTACATCTGATGATTCAGATAGTAGGGGAAGTAGAGTTGATCTATTTCTACCCCCCCCCCCCCCTAAAACACATTCGACATGTACGGTCAGTATTACGCGTAGCCGCATTTATTTGCCGTGACTTGAGTCAGGTGCCCACCATAAACCGAACGCATGACTCCTGGGATACTATTCTCCATGCTCTGCTACTCGACCACATTACTTCAATTGAAGCCGCTGCATTCAAATAACATTGAGGACCCTTGTAACCTTACCTGCACTCTGGCCTCTGACAGACACGTCCTGCTGGCTAGCGCCTCTCTGGTGGCGACCCCTGGGTAGTGGGTCTTCTGTGGAGTAACAACAAATAAGGGGAGCACATCAAAACAATGTAGCTGTTTTAGAGAGTAACGCGTCTTACAGTCACGGTTCTGAAGCCGGTTTCTATACTTTGGTATGGTAAAGAAATGGACATCAATGGTCATACGTAAAAAGTATTTTTACCCCCCCCCCCCCCATTCCTTATCGTCACGCATTGGCTTAAGAAGCCAGATCCAACCAGACGCATTAAATTAACGTCATCCGAGTTTCTTCCAGGCATTTTTTCGGGGGGGGGGGGGGGGTGAATAAAGCCGAATAAAGTCTACTGCACCCCCCCCCCCCGAACGAAATGGAATTTACATAGAAAATATATGCTTTTAATCAGTATCCCTCCTGGAAAATTAAATCGTCCCCCCCCCCCGGAAAATATCAAGTGCCCTCCCAGGAGAAAAAAATCTGGAAGAAACACTGAATGTCATAAAGTTTTATCTTCGCTTAAATTAATTCAAAATCTAAAAAGTAAATACTTTTTAAAATACATTGGGTATGCTTGTATATGCTTAAGTAAACGTTACATTTAAATTTAAAAAAAAAAATTAAAATATAGACCGGTCATGGCCCGCAAACCAGCGACCGATAACAGCCTCGCTTCCACGTAGCACCTACCACAAATTCTTGCTCCAGGATGTCTAGCTGGGACTGTGAGAACGTTGTCCGGTTCCTCCTCAGCTTCTGCAAACTTTCTGCCTCCATGTTCGTATTGGGAGAGAAACCTCGTGACTCTGAATATATATATATATATATATATATATATATATATATATATATATATATATATATATATATATATATATATATATATAAACGCCTATGTGTGGAGTGTATGTATCAGAGTTTATTCCAGACATCACTGTCCCCCACAATCCCAAGGCGGAAATTTAAGCTGCCCCCTAAAGGTTTCAAGTGCCCCCCCCCCCCCCCGGAGGAAAATATCTGAAAGAAACACTGGTATGAATGTGTGTGTCTGTCCTTTGTCCTAAACGGAGGTATATGGCAAACAATATTGCGTGCGATGCAAACTGTAATCATATTTAATTAACAAAAAACAGAAACTCTCGCCAAAATCATAGGTATTGGTTTGCAAGCAATATTAAAGAAGGGAATAAATTAGTTTGTGTAAGCCTGATATTATTCTAGATTACATTCTCAATGAGCTAGTTAAAAAAAAATAATTAATTGTCTAATTTAATTTACCTCCACGCGAATAATAAATTATATTCCCAACCATCGTCCTATGATTGTGAAAGCATAATCGTTTCAGCTGATTTATTTCAAAAGTGTTAGATAGCTCAGTAGATGACAATCTACTTGCCCCTTTTTGATTGGCTGTGCGGATAATTGGATCACTTTGATTGGCGGAGTGGATTACTCGGTCCTTTTGTTATGCCAGAATAATGCCTTCATATTGTCATTGAAAAATATAGCGAGCTATTTAGTGTTCGCGCACACAAGCGATACGTTATAGAAGGCGGAGTTTTAATTATTTTACTGTGTTGACGGGACGGGATATATTATTATACCAGCAGTGTTTCTTTCGGGCTTTTTCTCCCGGGCGGGGGGGGGGGGGGGGGGGGGTGGGGGGGGGGGAGAAGGGGGTCACGGGTAAAGATATATTTTTTTAATAAAAGTAATTGTTAGATTTGCTTCGGGGTGGGGGGGGGGGGGGGGTGGGGGGGGGGGGGTCGAAGGATTGAAGCCTGCCCCCGCTAGGATCACAACCGCCCGCCTCCCCACCCCACCCACAATCAGGGTTTCTTCCGGGGGGGGGGGGACACTGTTAAAGTATATATTTTCTATATAAATTATATAAATTTCATTTCGTTCGGGGGGGGGGGGGGCGGTAAAAAAAAAATTCGGGGGGGGGGGCGGGGGGGGGGGCCGGG